AGTGTAGGGTATCGGAAGGGGGCAACCCTGTGTGAAATGGGGGGAAGTAATCATTTTAAGTACCTACTGTGTGCCAGCCCCTGGTATCATATGCTAAGCTTCATATCGTGAAGCAGAGACACCAGTTTATAGATTGGAAAACTTAGGTTCAGAGCAGTTAAGGAATGTTTACAGTCATTCAGTTTGTACACGGCACAGCTCAGACTGGAACCCAGAAAATTCCAAACCCTATTACTTTCTCTTGCAGCGTAGTTCCTCTGCGGGTTACTCTAACATTTCAGAGAGCAGCCCCTCTGCTCTGCCCGCTAATCAGTGGTCCAGATGCTCCCCGTTCCCTTGTTCAAAGCCCTCATTCCCAACCTAGGAGGCCATGCAGTTAAGCCATCTCATAGGGAACCCATCAGAGTCAACACTCCTGCCCTGGGAGCCATCTAGGTGAGGGGGAGGTTCCAATCCCAGCAACTCTGCTGATTGGCTGTAGGACCTTGGGCAAGTCACTTCCTGTAATCTACAAATTGGGAAATTACAGCTACCTGGTAGGTTGTTGTGAGGCTTAGAGAGAATGCATGTAGAGCCGTGGCACACAGAAGGCACTCTGTGAATGGCGGCCACTTCATCTTGGCTATTTGGGGCCCCACAGTGAATGCCACACGGAAGCGAAGCTACTACTCAGGGGGCAGCCTGATCCCTCTTCTCCAGCTCCCCAGGGGCGATGGTCTGAGTGTGATGTGGCTGGTTCCTGAGTTCCAGGGCAAGGGAATCACAGCAACAATGCAACTCCCAGGTGAGGTCTGCCTGCAGCCCCTGTGCTCCTAGCTAAACAGTGGGGCTTTCCTTTGCTTGGGGCAGGGACTCTGTTACCATGACAACACACGGATAGGAGGTGGGGGAGGACAGTGTTGCCAAGGTCATGGGGCTCCTGGCCTTCAGCCCAGCACCTTTGAGCCCTCAGCCACACTGTGAGGCAGGTACGGCCACAGGGCTGCTTCTCATGTCATTCTGATGAGCCCCAGGCACATTTACAAAGCAGCCCTTCCACCTAGAGCCCAGACCTAGTCCACAGATCCTAGACAGAAAAGGCACTAGCTCCTCCTCCTTGGGTGCCCATTACCACCCCTCCACCCCTTTAACAAGGGCCTTTGACACCCACATGATAACCAAACTCCAGACACTGTTGCCTCCACTGCCTCTTCCAGACGAAGGCATGATCCTGCTGAACGTTGGCGTCGTGAAGCTTGCAGCTGGGGACGCTACGCCTGTAGTACGTGCCCCAGGTGGCACTGTCCTGCTGTTGGAGTCATGCCTGCTGCAGCTTGCCACATATCCTGGACGCTGGGGCATCCATTTGCACATAGCAGAGCCGACAGCACTTCGGCCAACTCTGGCTGTGCTGGCCCACATCTCCACCTTTGGCCACCTTCCTTGGCCTGTATGGGTCGGTGCAACAGTCTCTCATGGGAGTTTTGCGGTCCCTGGACACGTGGCTGGCAAGGAGTTGCTTAAAGCTGTGGCCGAGGTTTTCCCCCATGTGACAGTGGCACCAGGCTGGCCAGAGGAGGTGCTGGGCAGTGGCTATGAGGAACAGCTGCTCACAGACATGCTGGAGCTGTGCCAGGGCCTCTGGCAACCTGTGTCCTTCCAGCTGCAGGCTGGGCCGCTGGGCCGGAGCATGGCTGGAGTTGTGGCCAGGCTACTGGCGGCCTCACCCCGGGCCACCGTCACAGTGGAGCACAGCTCCACGGGAGGCAGCTATGCCTCTGTGCGGACAGCACTGCTCGCAGCCAGGGCCGTGGACAAAACCCGGGTCTACTACAGGCTACCCCAGAGTTACCGCGAAGACTTGCTGGCAGATGTTGGCAGAAACTGACCACCCAGTGGATGAAAGGACCCCTGGGGTCAAGACTTCCCATTAGGGAGGCAGGAGGAAATAAATGGCTCTCCTTTCTCAAAGCACTGCACATGTGTCCTTGGCAGGATGGAGTGGGAGTGAGGTGGCCACTGAGCGCGCCTAGAGGGTCTGGAGGCTGGGGGCCAGATCATTCCGGTTGTCCAGAAGGAACTGCTCACAGGACTTGAATGTGTTGTAGAACTCGGAGGAGAGGCCAGCCACGTTGGTGGTCACATAGTTGAGAAAGCCCGGAGTGGCCTGGTTGTAGTAGGACACCTGCCGGACAGAAGGCCACACTCAGGGCAGCTGGGCTGGGNTCTCTATTCAAATACCCTTCCCAAAAGCCAAAAGACCTCCCTGCAAGCTCAAGTGGCTTAGGACCCTCTGAGACTGCCCTGGCAAAGAATCCCAGGCCCTTTTCATCAGATGCTTGACAACCCCTGCACCAGCCCCCAGTCCCAAGCCCTTAGCTGGCCTCTGCTTCCACCCCTCAAGGAATGGGAGCTCACTCCTGCAGCAGCCCTTCCTCTCAGGGTTAGTTCTGCCTGTTTGAAAGCCCTTCTTCACCGTCAGCCAGAATCTGGTCCGTCTTCCCACCTCCCCTCCCACGCCATCTCCTCCACACACACACACACACACACACACACCACCTGCTCTCTGCCCCCAGAAGTCATGTCTTCCAGTTCCTTCTTCCCTGAGCACGAGGGGCCAGTTCCCCAAGCCCTCGGCCTCCTCCCCACAGCTATCAAGCTGGAGTTCAAGAGCCTCAAGGCCTTGGGGCCCTCCCTGGATCTCCTGCAGCAGCTGACAGAAGACGGGAAAGTCCGGAGGCCTGTGTGGATCAATGCTGACATTCTGAGGGGCCCCAACGTGCCCATCTCCATCGAGGTCAATGCCACACAGTGAGTGTTCCCTTCTGTGCCCCAACTGTGTCCAGCCCTCTTCCTTCAACATTTGATACAGGAAGTGCTCAGAGGACGCTTCCTGAGTTTGCCTCTAGACACGCCATGTACTCTGACCTCTGAGCCTTCACACGCCTCAAATGCCTTCCCCCAACTTCCTCATGAACCTTTGCCCCGTCATTACCTCTTCCATGAACTGCCCCAACATCCCAAGCTGACAGCCCTTAGTTCCTTAGGGATACTCTATATCCCCAGTGACCAGGGCAGGGCTTGGCCTGCTAGAAAAGTCTAAAATGCTGACTCCTTGCCCAGACCCCATGAAATCCTAGCACTGCCACCAATAGCCCTCACATATACCAGCTGAATGGTGCTCTACAGTTTACAAGGAAGGGCCACATAAAAAGAAAATACATCTGATTAAATTCCCACATAGCAGCAAGGGATGTTGGGAGTATTTTCCCCCATTTTGTAGATGAGAAAGTGGACAATTGAGATTTAATTAAACTTGAAAGTTTATTATGTGTCCCAGGCACCGTTTTAAGTATTTTAGTTGTAAAATACCATTTAACTCTTACAATGAGAATGAGGTAGGTACTATCATTTTCATTTTATTAACAGAAGAACTATCTCATCAAAGTTAAATGACTGGCTTAAGTCTAGTACTTGTCAGAGCAAAGGTTCTAATTCTTTCTTATTCTAACCCCATGCTTTTTACCATCCACCCAACCAGCTGACAATCCATCCATCCAGTATTTGGGATTTTCAAATGGGGGTGCATTTGGAAAGCAGAAGTCTGCAAAATGTAGAGAGTGAACCACGATAAATACGGTTTGTCTTCTTGGAGCATTGATTTGACTCAATAGTTTGGGAAGAGGAAAGGGTAATAGTCTTTGCCTGTTAGAATTTGCATCAGAGCAA